AGCAAGGCTGACTGTGTCTGACATCATCACTGGCAGAAGCCAATAAGACCATGCTTTCCCCCTTTTCTTGATCAAAGAGAACACTGGAGCTGAGCAGTCAGGCCAGGCGAGCTGTCATCCATGCTCAGCCTGTGTGGCTGATGCAGCCGAGCGCTCCTCGGTTACCTGCGACCCAGTAGACCCGGGAGCAGCAAACACACCCGCTTGTTCCCATGCAGGGAATGGGGACCTTCCGGCTGGGGAGAAGGACTGTGATGTACACCGTGGAAACCATTCCCAAAGGGAAGAACCGAGTCCTAGGGGTGAGTGACACGACTGTAGGGGGCAGCGAGGGAGTGATGCTGGCATGCGGATGGGCTGGATGGAAGAGAAGGGGAAGGGCTCCCCTGGAATGGCACCCGATCTCCTAACTTAGGAGACACCATTATTCTAGATGGCTCCTGTTTCTGTGTGTGTGCGTGCATGATTGTGAGACAGAGAGACAAGCAGGGGAAGAAGGAAAGAAAGGTAGAGAAATACTGTCAAGATAGATAATCCTAATACTCCCATGAAGAATCCTGGGAATTTATCATACCTTTTATGCCTCAAGTTTGTTTTGGGGGGGAAGGGGGAGATCCTGCCATTTGATAGGAATACCTTTCTGATAGCAGCTCATTTTAAAGATGGTTTTGAGCATTTGTGCAGGTATCTGTTAAATGTTTTCAAAGAACAAGGGACACTAAAAAGGATCCTATTGCCCCTTAACTCTGGAGCACCCACTGTCTTGGTTTGTACTGCTGGGACACGGACCTCAGCTCCAATATCAGGACAGCAGAAGCATATTACCTATATATCTATGAGGAAGAGAGTAGGAGCACTCGAGGGACAGATTATTTTAAAATACAGATGGAGGCAGAACACTGTCAAAACCAATATGCACTGTTGGCATGACAGAACAACTATGATTTGAGCATGTCGGCTTAGATGAATGAAACCTGTGTCTTCAGAGACAGCATACACGGCCCTGAATGTCTGATATAGAGGAAGCAGAACAAGGAAAGACCTCCACTTTTATGGCCCACCAGTGAGCTCTTCTGAAGCATCAGGTTGACTGTTGGTAGGAGCAGAACAAGAAACTAGATGGGCCTTTGCTGTGATCCAGCCGTTTGTTTCATATATGAAGTTAATGACAGTATTGGGCATTTGGAAACTTGATTTAGGAGCCCTGACCACTAATCCCAGCCACTGTATGTTCGTGAGTGTAATTACTTTGCACATGATCTGGGGCATCCTCTTCCTTGTTAGCCCACATGCTCCAGCCACACTGGGGGCCTAGCTTGTAAAATGGGTTCCTGAACTGAAATGTAGTGAACTTTCAAACAAAATGAATCCAGCCTCTGATCCTGGAGGCAATATGAATATTCTCTGACATGGCTTCCACGCATTAAAAGCTGAGCCAATATACTCATATGTTGCTTTTGCAGATAAGACAGTGGCCCCACCCACCCCCACCCTTCCCCTCCTGGCTCTTCACACAACCATGGATGAAAATAAGATGGAGATACGTAAATAATTTGGGGGTGGGGGTGGGAGAAGACATTAGAGCTGCTCCTCAAAAACACATTATTTGATGCAATAAAATGCTTTTAAAAGCTGCGTTTTTATGGGGTGGTATTCTCTTAATGTCTTCCATGTGAACAAGGAAGTTTCTTATTCTGGACTGGTAAGAAAACAAAACGTACAGCAGTGCCTTAAGATTACAGTTGAAGCAAAGGCCCCTGCCTAGAATCTATTATGTCTTCACTAATGGTTCCCAAATTTGGGTCCTCAGATGTTCTTGGACTAAAGCTCCCAGAAGTCTACCAGTAGCTGTGCTGGCCAGGATTCCTGGGAGTTGTAATCCAAGAACATCTGGGGAAGTACTAGTCTACACACTGTGATGTGTATTAGTCCCGAGCATCAGAATGAACCTGAGACCGACACAGGTCACACCTCCAAAGAGGGATCCCATGGTTGAATGAGTGCTCTGGTGTCACGGAGAAAGCCTGGAAGAGGACTTTTCCCACCCTGCTAAAAATAAGTGTGATGCTGTGCAGAATTTCCCAGCTTGTCAGCACTGATTGCCTCCATGAAATCAGCCCGGACCCTTGAGTCGAGTAGGTGAAGCTACACAATATGTAAAGGATAAGATACTCTTTAAAGAGAGCTTTGCATCCTCAAAGAAAGCATTTTGCGTCAAAGCAGCCTGTAGCGGAACATGTTGTTCTCCTGTACTAAGAGGGACTTGCCTGTAAAAGAGCTAGATTTTCAGGTTGCCCGCAGAAATTAGCTGAGATACATTTTTCTTTCTTTGCTTGTTTTTAATGCATTAATGCATTTGGATGGTTATTATGCTAGGATAAATGAAACGGATATACTTCCCTTCCATCGGATTAAAAAGGAAAAGAGGGAGGAAATAACGACGAGGAAATAAATATAAAATTGTTTTTTGGAAAAAAAAACCCAAGAAGCTTGAGCAAGTGTTTTCCCCTGTCAGCTATCCCAAATGTGTGTGAGATGAGGCAGTAATTGGCTGATGGCAAATTCAACTTTCTTTAGCACTGGGCAGTGAAGGTGCAGCTAAGGCAGCCCCTTAGGCAGTGTCGCCACTGGAAAAAAGAAACAGATGTGTATATCCTCATTCACATATGCATTTATTCAGGAACTTGTATTGTGATTCAGATAGAAATACAGTGTGTCTGTCTGCTTGCTGAAACTGCTGTCTGGATTCTAACTTTATACTAAACCTCCACTGGCCAATCCTTCGAATAGAGGACTTGTTGTTTAGTCATTAAGTCGTGTCCGACTCTTCATGACCCCATGGACCAGAGCACGCCTTCCACTCCTGTCTTCCACTGCCTCCTGGAGTTGGGTCAAAAGAATAGAGGACTGTCCACTCCCAAATAAGACATCTGGCCACTCGACAGTCATGTGGCTCAACCTGTTAATTACTCTCGACACCAGCCTATTCTGTGATATATACCAGCCTTTCTTAACTTTGAAATATTGATCAACCCCAACACAAACTGCTGTGAACCGGCAGTTCAGGCCTGTATCTACATACTGATTCTTAAATTTCACTTTTCACTTGTTACTAAGAGGGTTGTTAGGATAAATGCCTCACCTACAGAAACAGTATCCTCACCTGCCAATACATCATCTTGAAATGTTGTATAGATCCCCCCCCCAGTCACCCTTTATTCAGGTGCCTTCTGAGGGCCGCTACCCACTTAGATAGTTTCCCCTCTATTTTGAGTTTCTGTTCCCTCAGCTGCTTGTCAGCGGGTGCCAGGAGAAGAGAAAAGCAGCCCAGAACAGACTAGGCCCCCGGAGACAGATGTGTACAAGCTTGTTCTTCGCACAACCTTTCTGCCTCCCTGGTGTTCTGTTCATATGTCCTCAACATTAACATCTTTTGATTGTGGGTCCTGTCTGTACTGCTGGCTAAAAATGTGGGAGTCTTAACATTGCTCCATGACTACAACTTCATCAGCTGTAAAATGGTGGCAGGATTATTCTTTGCCTTGCCTTCCAAGTTGAGAGGATTAATATTTTTATAATCAAGGCCAATTCGACCTGAATTTTTAAAAGAAAATTGGAGCTTTTTAATGTGTACTACATAATATCTGTGGGAATGGTAAAACATATTAGAAAATGACCCAGGCTGCTGCCAGCCTGCGGAGGAGAGGGGAAACAGATGTCTTCACTGGAGGCTCCCCAGTGACTCATTTAGAATAGCTTTGCACAATTTGTGACCCAGTTGAATACAGTCTATCCTGCACAACGCATGATCCTGCTGAATAAACTGCTGCCAACCTGTTGTGCAAGACAAGGGGTCAAACCAGACTATTAGAGAGCTAGCCGGTCGGCTACCATACCAAGCTGGGTAACCTGAGTTCACCTGGCTGGGTTGTAAATTTTCCACACCTGTTCTAGGACTTGCAATAATTTGACTGCTATGCAATAACCTGAAGACCAAACAGTCAAAAGTTCAAGGCATGTTGTGTATCTGAGTAAAAAAACAGACTCATCCGATAGAATTGTCTAGAGCAGTGGTTCCCAACCTTGGGTCCTCAGATGTTATTGAACTGCTGCTCCCAGAAATAGCTGTGCTGGCCAGGATTTCAGGGAGTTGCAGTCTGAGAACATCTGGGAACCCAAGTTTGTGAACCACTGCTCTATAGTGACAAACTGCCTTCTCCATACTCCCCCCTCATTTGGATCAGTTTAGCCTGGACTTCAATTTTTATTTTGTCATTTTCCTGTCTGCCAGTATCTGAACAACGCCAAAATGTTAATTGAAGCAGATGCATAAATGCCAGATAGCAGATGACATTAACTGTTCCCACAAACATTTGGGAACACAAAGTTCTTCTATTCTAAAATAGAATATCTCAATGATATAGGTGAAAATTGTGAAGTGTTTCCTTTGCAGAAAGTTGCCCTAGGAGAAAATGAATGCTAGTCATTCCATTATAAAATGAGGAAATCAGCAGATTCTAGGGTCAACCAGTCAATAAAAGGTGTGTGTGTGTATGTGTGGATGGGTGTGTGGGTTGTGGGTGTGTGCACACACGCGCGCACGTGTGTGTACATGTGATAGCAAGTGCTGAGTATTATTCCCCTGATTGTCCCCACAGACCATCCAGATCATGACTGGCTTCATACATATTAGCTTTGGGATCATTCTCAGCACCTTGACCAGTGTATATACCTCATTCTTCGTGTCTGGAGAGATCCCCTTCTTGGGAGGAGCATCGGTGAGTATCACATATGGGACTGGGCTGTTGAAATTATTGTAAGTTTATACACACAGTGGGTCAAGTGTGAGTATTTAAAAAACCACAATATTATCCCATGGTATATATGTGTGCCAGCAGAGGAAAGAATATTCATATAGGTATAGCAGACTTTAAGAATGTTTACTGGAAAACATGTTGAAGGATAAACTGACAGTGCTTAAACATTCTGACTTTGTATAGTTTTGTTTTGGGCTTGACAGTTTTATAACAGTTGCATAAGGTCTGTGCAAGTGCATAGTAACAGCACATGCCTAGCAGCAGACAGTTCTAATGGAACACGTACATATTAACAGACAAGTTATTAGACAACAGACAAGTCTCATCTTAACTATCATTTTTTCTTGTATCTGACAGTTAACCCTCTAAGAACCCATTGGCTGGCAGAAGACAGAATCTGATTGGTTATATATGTTCTATTATGCATATACATCTCATTCATTCTTATATACATACACACTTATATACATGCTTGGATGCATAGTCTAACATGGACAAATTCCCTTGGGTAAACAGCTGGGGGAAGTTAAGTGTCAGGCTAGGCAGGCAAGAGCAGAGAAGAGATGATAGATGAAGAGAGAGCAATGAGACTAGTGATTCTTGGTAGGCCACTTGTGAGAAAGAGATAGTAATGGTGTAGCATCAGCTGTTGAAGGTCTGCAGGGCCATCAGAAAGCTGCTGGATTAAGGTGATTTGCGGTGAGGGGTATCAGGAGATTTTATGTGCTCCCAGAGGCATCTGGTGGGGCCACTGTGAGATACAGGAAGCTGGACTAGATGGGCCCTTGGCCTGATCCAGCAGGGCTCTTCTTATGTTCTTATGAGTTATACGGAGGATATTCCCAACTATGTGGGATTTTAGTCAATGCTGTAAAGTGAAAACCTTAAAACTCCTGCTTGGCTCTGAATGACTGAACAGATGATGCTTTTCATTTTTCAAAGGCGCATAGTCCATTTTGAATTTCATTAAATTTTTTGCCTAAAAATGTCTTGCATATCCTAGAGTCTGTTCTAATGCTGACTTACTTATTTCCTTCCTTCATGTTCAAAATGCTGCTTTTTACTTTATTGTAGTTTTAGCACATTCTTACTAAAACGATAAAACGATAAAAGTTTTTTTTTTTAAGTGGAAAGAGATACTTGCCAAAAATGAACTTGTTTTCATTTTGGATCTACTTAAAAAATCTTTATCAGAGATTCCAAGGATTACGATGTTCTTCTCTTTAGAAAAGGAATGGATAATTGTGCATGCATGCATACGTGTGTGTGTGTGTGCATGTGTGCACGCGTGTGCGTGTGCATAAATGTGTGCATACACACTCTGTATCCCATGGATGTCCTTGGAGTGAATTCCTTGGAGAAAATAGATGATTTACTTCTGAGAAACTACAGTTCCAGTTTTATGTTAGATATGTTAGATAAAATACATACTGTCTAAAATACATGTGTATGGGCACATGCACGTAAAAAACAAGATTTGCATGTTGTATCATTCTTAGGTTGCCAAGGGTAATAAAATAGCCACCCCAAGAATGACTGAGAACATTAATTGAGACAAGTAAAAGAAAGAGCTAAGGCTATGTGTATTGTGTAACTTTCCCTGAAGTCAGAATCTAAACACTGTTGCAATTATTGATGGAACCTTGGTGGTAGATCTATTAAATATAGTATAACTCTGACAAAAGGCAATCTCAGAAAGAGGGCCTGCCATCAGTTGTGTCCTAGGTGGAAACATCTGTATTTCCAAGGAAATTTTCTAAAGCAATTCAGCGGTGCAGAGAGGAGAGTCAAATGAGTCTGATTTGAGCTTCGGATCAGAATGTTAAGGTTTAGCTTATACAGTAAATGAAATTTTGTGTGAAGCTGTAATGTGGGAGGGAGAGAAATGTATATTTGACAACATGATAGGTACTTGAGAGACAGCAATGGGCTGGGGTGCGTAGTCACCTTTAAAGACATCAATGTGGGTGCATTGTGGCTTTGAATCCATCTGCATGTCCCTAAGAGGTCACAGTGACGGTCTGGGCCGAAGAGCACATGGCATGACCAGCGCTACCCCGCCTCTTGATTCCTCTGCATCAAGGCACCCTCGACAGGCGCCTTCTTATATTTGGCATGGGGAGGATTTCCTCCATGTGAACACTATCTCTTTGACACATTTTCTGTTCCTCAGCAGTATTGTTCTCACACAGGAGGCATTGCACCAAGTCAGATAAAGCATGGAAGGCCTTTGTGTTGTGAAATCTGTAGCAGTTGCATTGTTGCAAAAATCAGGAGCAAGGGTGCTGTTCCCTCAGTGCCAGACCCAGCTGGGCTTCAAAAGGGCTTCAATTGATACGTAATATGAAACAGAAAACCCAGAGTAGCCAGAATGCTCATTCATGTTCCAAAAGCTTCTCCTCCCTTCATTTCCACTTTAACGACAATTAGACAGTGCCATGAATAGTGCAACATGGAATGACAGAATAATGAAGTTGGAAGAGGTCTATGAGGCCATGTGGCCCAACCCCTTGCTCAATGCAGGAATCTGATCTCTAGAACCTACAACCTAGAACCTAGGGCTATATCAAACTAGGTTCAGCCTTGGGCACGGAAGCCCCCTTGAACCTATTCAAAAGTTGTCCCCTTTGGCAACGTTACTTGTTCTCAGAAAGGGTGTGCACAATTGTAGCCTTAGAGTGGCTTAAATGTGGTTCGCCATTGTTGTGTTGCTGGCTTGACTGTCTGGGCACTGTAGTGGCCCTTGCCTCAGGCAAGTACAATTTCCACTGTGTTGCTTGTGGTACATATGAGTAGCTCATAGGTAGGTAATAAACCTACAATACCTTTTTGAGTTGTCATAAACATCCTTTTCTGAGCCTTAAGTATTGCCACCTCTGCCCTACAATGTAGAACAAATAACTCTCGACCACAATGTGAGACAACTGCTAACTTCTGCCTCCTCCACCCTCCACCCGACCAGTGGACTTTATTACAGCAGTGTCAGAAAACATGACCTGCTCTTTGCTTTCAAAAAACACTGTTTGTCATAAGCAACTAGTTGCTGTAAACCACTGATGATGATGATGATGATGATGATGATGATGATGATGATGATGATGATGATGATGATAATAATA